CGATGTCACGGCCGTGATCTCGATCGCGGGTGGAACGCTACCCAGTAGCGTCAAGGTCAAGTACATGGCTGCGGCCAGTGTTGTGACCAAGGGTAACATCACCTGGGCCGGACAGGTGTGTAGGTGGATCGGAACGTGGACTTGATGGCTGAGAACGGGCACAGACCTTTGGTGGCATCTTCGCATCGGACGGCCGGCCCGTCGGGACTGAAGACATCCAGACTGTGAACTGTGATACGAACGCTCAGACTTGCAGCGTGAAAGTGCCCGCGCCTGGCTTTGCGCTGGTGTTCTTGTCGGATAGCGCCCAGACGCAAGACGCAGGACTGCCAAGCACGACGTTTGCGACGACGCTGGTCACCAAGACGCATAACACAGGTGCGCAGTGCTGGCTCGGACATTGATTCCGTCGTCGCTGAAGTACGATAGCGACGATCAACCCGACTTTGATGGCCACGTCGAACGGAGAGAGGATGGCAGACCATGCGTTGGCTGGGACCTCCAAGCCTCCGAGCGCTGGGTCAAGGCTAGAGATTTCGATAATGGGTGTAGTGGCTGGAGCAGCTCTAGGAGCTGCCATGATCTTGTTTGGTTGATTTCTATTGCTGTCTATGTTTTCCATGTCGGTTCTTGTGATTGTTATTAACTTGATCATTCCCTTTTGGACATTATACCATTGTTGTGCGCGTTATGTTACTCGGGATGAGCCGCCAGCCGTTTTCACTGCATTTCACGGGTACCTAGCCCCCTTGGGGGCTTCGGCTTGCGAGTGATGGGCGAGCCAAAGGCGAGTCGGGCCTAGATCACTAGCCGACCGTGGATTAGGTAACTAGCCGGGATTTGGGGGCTCCGGCATGCGAGCCGGCAGCTGATCAAGTAGGCCGCACGGAGTCTACACGTGGTTATTTCCACCGCATCAAAACCCACTGGTGGTTAGCTGTGACCTGCTGTGACTCTTACCACTGGTTGAATTTTTCCTTCCTGTTGATGACATGGGAGCGAGGAAGCGGTTGATGGGGGCTAGTGATGATCAAGTGATGGACGATCAGGCTAGCCACTCCTCGTCCCACACTAGCCACCTCTAACCGCGGCAGTGCCTAGACACCTCGCCCCTTCATGGGGGCTAGTACTGAGCTACCCGACTAGCCACCAAAAGGGGCTAGGTACCCTTGAAATGCAGTGTTTGAGGGCAACCCTGCTGGAGACCCTGTCTTGTGCATTGATGGCCATTAACCATTCAATCAAGTTTTGCCATAAGTTCTGAACGCGACCAGATCTGCGCAATATGATTCCAAGAAAATCAATCCGGGCTGGCAAAACTTGACCAGAGGCCTAACCAGGCCATATCACGTGAGATAAAATCTAATCTCCGTCGTCATCTAATCTAATCTGATGACTAGGGTTATCACCAGGAATAACAGTAGGTACAAATATCGCTTGGACAGCGCATAAGTCATCTTTCGACAGAAGGAAATGACAAACTGGTACCTGATCGAGTCATATGTACCAAATCTTTCTCACACGGCCCGCGCATCCACCTCAGTTACCACCGCCATCACGCGGTTCTCCCCCGCGGGGTACCTACTGGGTACCCTCAGACGTCTTGCTGAGGGTACCCAGTAGGTACCCCCTGGCGGGGGGTGGGGGGGCCATTTAGTCAATTTAGTAGCGGGGGCATATGCGGGGGTCAGGAGGAGGGGGGGTGAATGTAGCATGTGACTTGTCCATAAGAGCGGGTAGCTGGGCAGGAAAAAAAAATCCAATCACATGACGCGCTGCATAGGCGGGATGGCGGGATAAAAAAAATCACGTGATGCGCTGCACAAAATATTACCAAAATGCTGGCAGGGGTTGGCGGCGTCATTGGCGGGGTCACTACCACCCCCCCGCACACCATGGCGGGCAGTTGTTGAAGGATGATGTCATCACGAGGTGCTCAGCAGTGTTTGATCATTGTTTGGACGATCGAGCACAACTATACATGTCCTCCGATCGTTTTGCGTCCCTCAGTCTTACCATTATCTGGTGTGGCTGAGGGTACGTGAATCTTACTTATCATTCTTAGACGTTCACTTATATTACCTTGTAGACTTACTAAGTATATTCGTCTACAGGTATAGGAGTCTTACCATTATCTGGTGTGGCTGAGGACTTACTAAGTACATTCGTCTACAGATTCGCAGTCAGACGCTTGTGCACAATACGTCCAACAATCAGCAGCACAAAAACAGTGTAAATCGCAGACTCAAGACGCGCACAGAGTACCACGAGAGATTACCCCTATCACCAGGATGACGACCAATCTCCCCGCTACCCCGATTCTTCCCGAAGAGCAGAAGCTCACAACAGATGGTGCCAACTGGGCGACCTTTAAGGAAGTGATGATCAGCATGGCACGGGGAAGAGGAGTCGAAGGGTACCTGTTTGGGACGGTGGCCGAACCAGCTGGATTTGTGGCTAACACTGGGAGCCTAGGGTTCTCCCCGTTGAACTCAACGATGCCATCGCCTGACGAATACTCCCTCCGTGACGGATGGGTCGCCGCAATGCTGTTTCAAAATATCAAGGACCCTCGATCACACGATCTTAAAGGAACAGATTCGGCGCACCTGATTTGGACCACGCTCGTTAGCAAGTTCAACAGAAGCACGGAGCTCCTGGTCGGGATGAAGATGGAACGTCTCCGTTTGCTAGAGCTCAAGGACCCCCGCTACCTTATCTCCCACCTTGACGAACTCGTGAAACGACGCGCAGAGGTACACGATATCAGGGGAAGTGTCCCAGATGCGCTGATGTGCACCATAATCCTGTCGTCACTCCCAAAAGAAGAGTTTGGTCCATCGTTAATCACACTGCAAGTCCACACAGTCGTTGCACACCTGGTTCAGCACCTTCGCGAGTGGTGGGACCTCGTATGGAAGAAGCGAGTGGAGGAGAGTGGGACATCAGCAAGCGCCCTTGCCGTAGCCGTGGGAGACTCACCTTGCGAAAACTGCGGTGTCCAAGGACACAATCAACGTGTTTGTTGGGCGCGAGGGGGAGGGAAAGAAGGCCAGGCCCCGGCGTGGTGGAAGGCGCCACGTGGAAAGGAACCAGCCCAGAATCTGGTCCAAGCCCATCGACAGGCCCGGGAGGCGCGCCGATCCCAAAACCACATGCCGTCACACCATAGCGCCGCAAACGCTGAAGGACAGCTCCAGAACCCCACCGCTGCGATGTCAAGCCCAATGGCAACCTACGTCCTCGCGGCTCAAGCGCCAGGGAATGGTACGTTGCAGGACTCAGGTGATCCGGGCCGTCCATCTAATGAACCGTTCAGAATGGGACGTGGAGGGACATCTCCTACCGTTCTGAATGGGGAGTCGGGGCGGTTACGTGAACCTGTAGTGTATGCAGCCATGTCGAGCCGAATGAATCAGATCCCAATGTTCCTTGATTCGGGGGCGTCAGAGCATTGCTTCGTTGATCGATCGAAGTTTGTGACCTACGAGGAAGTTGTGGGAGCGGAAGGCCAAACTGCAATCAAATTGGGAGGTCGGTTCCAGATCGCAGGGCATGGGGACGTCGAAATCATCGTGGAGACAGAAGGGAAGGAACGTCACCGCATTCGCTTGCATGCCCTTCACACGCCGGAATTCCGAATGAACTTGATATCGATCACGACGCTCGATTCACGGGGACTCAGAGGATCATGGGGCGGAGGCGTATTATTGGTCATGAGTCAGCATGGCAAAGTGATCTTAACGGGCAGACTCACAGGAGGGACCGACAACGGACGACACCTGTATGCGGTGGAAGTGATTGAGGATATGCCGTATGTGGCGATTGCCGGACGAAATAGGAACCAGCCGACATCATTAGAAAACTGGCATAGAAGATTGGGCCATGCCGACGTACGGACGATCAAGCGAATGGCAACTAAAGGCGCGGTCGAGGGCCTAGAGATCACCAGGTCGGACGTGCGAGGAATGTGCCAGGACTGCATCTTGGGTAAACAGGACCGCGCTCCATTCGACGACGAGGTCAATCATGAGACATACCCGTTGGAGAGAGTCCACCTTGATCTGTGGGGGAGAGCACGAACACCGAGTTGGGGCCAGGCGGTGTACCTCTTGTTGATATCAGACGGCGGCACAAGCATGAAGTTTCCGATATTCCTTCCGGACAAGCGGAAAGAGACGGTCCTCAAAGCGTTCGCAACGTGGGTGATCGAAGCTGAAGTCCAGACCGAGCGGCGCCTGAAAATTGTACGGGTTGACCTAGGGAGCGAGTTCGACAATGATGCGTTCACGGGGTTCTGCCAGGAGAGGGGAGTGATCATCGAGCGAGTCCCAAAAGCGTCGTCGTCAGCTCACGGACATGCTGAACGGGGTAACCGAACCGTAATTGCCGGCGCAAGAACGCAGCTGATAGAAGCAGGGCTTGACGCGCGCTTCTGGGCAGAAGCAACGGCTGCACACTGCTACGTCCGCGGCTTCATTCCCTCAGCGAGGCACCCAGATTCAGTGCCATGGATGCGCTGGTACCAGAAACGTAGGGCCGACGGAGGGACGGTGCGACCAAACATCTCCCACTTGCGAGTCTGGGGAAGCGTATGCTGGGTCAAGGACCTCGACGAGCAGGAGGGAAAGCTCGGTCGCCAAGGCTGGGAGGGTCGCATGGTCGGATATATGGGCCGACGAGGTTACCGCGTGTACGACCCACGACGAATGAGGGTCTTTGAAGTGAGAAATGTGATCTTCGAAGAAGGTGATCCTCACCGGACAATGGGCGCCGAGTCTCTACAAGATGGCAGCGGGGTCCTCGATACAGAAGAGGAGCAGGCGGCAACGGATGGTGGCGTTGAGATGGCAGAAGGCCGGGCAGATCATAGAGGAAGCAGTGCGGAAGGAGAAGGCGAGACAAGGGCAGACGATGGAGTGGCTGAAGAAGGGACGATACAGCAAGACGTTCCACCCATCCCGAGACGAAGCGCACGGGCAACGAAGCCGAGCCGTAGGATGCTCGAAAGTACGATCGCAAAGCGAAGGGAAGAGGAAGCAAGGATCGCAGATGAAGATTGGGCAAGAGATACTGTCCGACCGAGCGTGAACTTTGTGGACATCAACAACGACGAATTCGATGAAGAATCAATGACGTTACCAATGATATCAGCTAGTGCAACGAAGGGACGACTGCCACGGTCGGAAACGGAGGCGTTGAGGGAACCGGAACTGTGGGGAGAGCCGATGAGAGACGAAATGGATCAGATGAAAAAGAAAGGTGTATGGGAGCTGGTGGACCTACCAGAGGGGAAAAGAGCGCTGGATGGGATGTGGGTGTTCAATGTGAAGGTAGATGGCGCAGGCGCAGTGGTGAAGAGAAAGGCACGATGGGTGGCTCGAGGGGACCAGATGGTGGAAGGGCGCGACTTCGGCACAAAATGGGCAATGGTGGCAAGAATGGAATCGGTCCGGATGGTATTTGCAGTTGCGGCTGTGAAAGGATTGCACGTGCGGCAGTGGGATTTTTCCGGTGCTTACCTTAACGGCAGGATGGATCGCGACGTCTACATGAAACAACCGCGTGGGTTCGAAGAGAAGGGGAGGGAAGACAAAGTCTGTCTTCTCTTACGACCGCTCTACGGATTGGTTCAAGCCGGTCACATATGGTACAAAACGCTAAGCGCCGGTTACAAGGAGCTTGGATACCACGAAAATGCAGCCGACCCGTGCGTCAGAACCAGGAAGCGAGGAGAGGAGTACACCCTCACAAGTACCCACACGGACGATGTCGTCGGTGCATCTTCGGGAGAGGCAGAAAGTAAACGAGTGGTCGAGGAGTTCGCGGAAAAATGGGACCTCAAGCAAGTGGATCTCAATTTATTGCTGGGACTGACCGTGGAGAAGCTGCCGAACGGGGACATCTCACTGGGCCAACGACAGTATTTCGAGAAAGTACTCGATCACTTCGGCTACTCGAATTTGCCTCCGCTGTCTACCCCGCTTCCACCTGGCTATCAGATCCGCGCCTCGCCAGCTGTGCTCCCACCCGACGATGGGTTGTTCATGAAGGACAAACCGTTCCGGCAAATACTGGGATGCATAGTATGGGGGAGCAGCGGAACCCGTCCGGACTTGGCCTACGCTTGCTGTGCACTCGGGCACGTTCAGTCCAACCCCGGTCCAGAACACTGGAAGGTGCTGATTGGCGTTCTACGTTACATCTGAGGGACCTTGGACTACGGGATCAAATACTGCCGAACGGGGATCGACGGCCTGAAACCAGTCGGCTACGTGGACTCGGACTGGGCGGGATGCGTGGACACCCGGAGATCAACCGCAGGCTATATCTTCTTCATGGCAGGCGCACCAGTCGCGTGGTCAGCGAAGCGCCAGGCCGTTGTGGCCCTATCGTCCACCGAAGCGGAATATATCTCCTTAGCCAGAGCGTCGCAGCAATCGATGTGGATGAAGATGTCAGGGGAACCCCTGCTTTCGTCCGATCATCATGGGATCTCGCATGTGACCAAGCACGTGCCATCTGTCAAGCGTCACATGCTTCGGTCCGGACTCTCCTGCCAAGCGCACCCACATGACACTCCGGCCCGCACCCCCATTGTTCCGACGGTCCGGCTCCCATTGTTCCCCCCGATCCGGCCCCTTATTGTTCCCTGGCCCCATTGTCTGGCGCTTCCATTGTGCTTGGTCATCCATTGTTCTGTAGGCTATATATAGTGGGCCCTGACAAGGAGAGTCCCCAACTCGGTTTCTCTTTGGACTCTCCCTTGTCAGGTTTGCCAGTCTCCTGTACTAGTCGATCCCCTTATCTGACGCCTTTGGACTCTCCCTTGTCAGGACTCTGAGATCGGGCCTCGAGGTTGCCCTTACAGCAGAAACCGAGTTCCTAGGGATAACTGGACAAGCTTGTGAAGACCGCCGACAGCGTCATCCGCTTCTCACTTCCAACCTTGTCCCCTCCTCCCCCTCTACGATCATCATGTCCCAAATGGAAGAAGAGGACGACCCCTCCCACCCCCAACAGAGGCTTGCGAATCTAGAGGAAGCCATGCAACGGATGGAAGGCCTCCCCCACAACCTCATAATTACACAGCAACAGCCTGCCCCTGCCCCTGCCCCTGCTCCGTCTCCGGCAGTGGGTCCAGGTGTATCTATTGGCCAACAGGCCAGCGCGAGACCCCTCATCCGCCCCAACCCCCCATTCGCGTTCGACGGGGATCGTACCCAGGGCAAGACGTTTCTCCATTCCGTCAAGCAATACTGGCGCCTCCTCCCTGAGGCCTTCCATGTGAACGGGGTAGTATCAGAAGAGCGGGTGGTACGTTTCGCCCTCTCCTACATGTCCAAGGACTCGGCGGCCTCCTGGTCAGAACGCATGTCAGAGCGCCTCGTCTTCCCATTCCCGACCTGGTCCTCCTTTGTGGCCGAGTTCAAGCTCCGGTTTGTCGAGGAGAACGAGCAAGACCACGCCCTGGCACGACTGGAGACCCATGCTTACTACATGGGATCCCGCGACGTGTTCAAATACACGGACGAGTTCGACGACCTTCTCGACTTGGCGGGGTACTCCGACAACTTGGTCAAGGTCACCAAGTACCGGGCGGGTCTGGACCCCAGAATCAATCAGGCGATCACGACCTCCGGCAACCCGCCTAGCCTCACCAACTACTCGGAGTGGCGTACCCGCGCATTCCGCCAGTACAACGCCGAGGTGGCCGCCCGAGCAGCACGAGGACAGGTGTTCTCTTCACCCCGCGCTCCGCCTCCTGCAGCTCCCCGCGCTTGTCCCGTGGCTCCTCCAGTGGTCGCCCCACCCCCTGCTCCCCGACCAGCCCCGGTAGTCCTCCCACCGGGCATTCCCATGGAGATTGACCGAACCCGAGCCCGCAGCAGTGTTCGTCGCACATGCTTCCGATGCGGCAGCCCAGGACATCTGGCCCGAGACTGCCCGACCCCCGCTGATGTCCGGCACACCGACGTCCTGGACGAAGTGATCAATCAGTTGGGAAGCGACCTGTTGGCGGAATTAGTAGCCCGGCTAGCAACTACGGCGGCCGTAGAAGAGCATGAAGCGGAGATTGCCGACGAGTTGGAGCAGGGTTTTCTCCCCCGCGACAAGTGAATAGTACGCCCTCGATCGCCTCACGTAATCGTTTCGAATGTCTGTATGATGAATGCGACCTCATTTCCCCCACAAACGAAACGATAGACGTACCTCCTGTCCCCCGCTCAGTCCCGCTGGTCCGCAAGGAAAAGTGGGAACAAAAACTCCCTCAGCGCTACGTGGTTGCGGCCTCCCCTGGCCCCAACTCCCTGCACCTCCCCCTGGAGATCCAGTCCACCGACAACGCAGTCCAGCTCTCCCTCAACGGACTGGTCGACTGCGGCGCCACGTCGGACTTCATTGACTCCACCTACGCCTCCGAAAACCGACTTCCGGTCCGGCAGCTCTCCCAGCCTATCCCAGTCTACAATGTGGACGGCACGCCAAACGAAGCCGGCTCCATTCGACAAGTTGCCGATGTGGTCCTGCGTTACCAAGGACACAGTGAGCGGGTCCAGCTTGCTGTCACTCGGCTTGGCAAGCAGAAGCTGATCCTCGGCTACTCCTGGCTTCGGAAGCACAACCCGGAGATTAACTGGGACACGCAGGAAGTGAAGATGAGCCGCTGCCCGTCCGGCTGCTCCACCTGCACCGAGGAGTCCCGCCAAGAGAGACGGATAGCCCGAATTTCGGCCCGAGCACTCCGGTCAGCCCGACAAGGCCCCGCCCCCTCCATCTGCGTCGTCGACATAGAAGACTGCGAAGACGAGGCTATGCCGCTACTCCAGGAAGACGACGGAGAAGATTCCGATGAAGAAGAAGACTGTCTGGAAACCGGTGACCGTATCTTCTACACCCGTTTCAACCCTTCTGAAGACATCCGAGCCACTAGCACCGTCTCCCAGCGTCTCGCAGAGGCGTTTGCCAAGAACTCTGCCCCCTCTCGAGATTCCATACCCGAGTGGGCACGCGAGTTCAAGGATGTTTTCAGCAAGGAATCCTTCGACAATCTTCCAGAACGTCGCCCTTGGGACCACACCATTGAACTGGTGCCCGATGCAAAGCCAACAAACTGCAAGGTCTACCCTATCTCCCCCCTGGAGCAGAAGCAGCTCGACACTTTCATCGAAGAAGGCATGGCCACCGGCCGAATCCGACCCTCGAAGTCCCCCATGGCCTCCCCCGTCTTCTTTGTCAAGAAGAAGGATGGCAGCCTACGGTTTGTCCAGGATTACCGGGCACTGAACGCAATGACAGTGAAGAATCGGTACCCCCTTCCCTTGATCAACGACCTGATCAACAAGCTCAAGGGAGCCCGCTTCTTCACCAAACTCGATGTTCGGTGGGGCTTCAACAACGTACGGATACGAGAAGGAGACGAGTGGAAGGCTGCGTTTCGGACCAACCGTGGGCTCTTCGAGCCACTGGTGATGTATTTCGGCCTTACCAACTCCCCTGCGACGTTCCAGACCATGATGAATGACATCCTCCAGGACCTCATCCTCTCAGGCGACGTCATGGTATACCTGGACGACATCCTCATTGCGCACTCTGACCCTCACCTCCATCGTCGTATTGTGAATGAAGTCCTCCGGCGCCTCCGCGAAAACAAGTTGTATCTCCGAGCCGAGAAGTGCGAATTCGAGATGGAGTCCATCGAATACCTCGGCGTGATCATCTCCCACAACCACGTCGAGATGGACCCCGTCAAAGTGGCGGGCGTAGCTGAATGGCCGGCCCCCTCTAACAAGAAGGAAGTGCAGCAGTTCCTTGGGTTCACTAACTTCTATCGGAGGTTTATCCGGGACTTCTCGCACGTTGCACGCCCGCTCTTCGACCTCACCAAGAAGGACGTACCCTGGTCTTGGGGCGACAACGAGTCCACTTCGTTCCAGGCCTTGAAGGATGCAGTTACCTCCACGCCGGTTCTTCTCCTCCCAGACTCCTCTCGTCCTTACCGCCTAGAAGCTGACAGCTCCGATTTTGCCACAGGAGCCGTCATCTCGCAGCAGTCCCCCTCAGACGACAAGTGGCACCCAGTCGCCTTCTTCTCCAAGAGCCTTAATGACGTCCAGCGCAACTACGAGATCCACGACAAAGAGATGCTCGCAATTGTACGAGCGCTGGAGGAGTGGCGGCACTTCTTAGAGGGCACCGAACACCCCGTGGAGATCTGGACCGATCACAAGAACCTGGAGTACTTCCGCAAGGCCCAGAACCTCAACCGCCGGCAAGCCCGTTGGTCGCTCTACCTATCCCGCTTCGACTTCACGCTCCACCACCAACCCGGCCGACTCATGGGACGACCAGACGCGCTCTCCCGGCGCCCGGACCACGGAGCCCCTTCAGACAACACGGACGTCACCCTGTTGAAACCGGAACTGTTCCATGTGCGAGCACTCGAAGGACTGTCCGTCTCTGGCCCAGAAGCCCCGCTTGTCCGTGACATTCGGGAATCGCTCTCCGGTGACCCTGACCTCGATGAAGAACTTGTGCTTATAGCGCGACGGCTTCTGAAAGGGATGAAGGGGGCCCGCTCCGCTGTAGCAGCGGAATGGCGCATCCAGGACGGCCTCCTCTACTTCCGTGGGAAGCTAGTGGTTCCGCGTGACAGAGACCTACGGCGACGCATCCTTGAGCAACACCACGACACCCGCGTTGCGGGGCATGCTGGCCGCTTCAAGACGCTGGAGCTGGTCTCCCGGAACTACTGGTGGCCCCAGCTCTCACGACATGTTGGCCGGTACGTGGCCACCTGCAACCTGTGCTGTCGGACCAAGGCCCTCCGACGACTCCCCTCCGGAGAGCTTCACCCCACGGAGATCCCCTCGGAACGTTGGGAATCGGTGTCAGTGGACTTTATCGTGGAGCTGCCTGAGGCGCATGGCTACGATGCCATCATGGTGGTCGTTGATATGCTAGGGAAGCGTGCTCACTTCATTGAGTGCCACACTCGCCTCTCGGCCGAAGGGATGGCTCGATTGTTCTACAAGCATGTCTGGCGACACCACGGATTACCCATCAAATGCGTCTCGGACCGTGGCCCTCAGTTTGTGGCAGACTTCACCCAAGAGCTATGGAAGCTGGTTGGCGTCTCCCCTGCCACGTCCACCGCTTACCACCCGCAGACTGATGGCCAGACCGAACGGGTCAACCAGGAGTTGGA